ATTATTTATTATTATTATTATTATTATTATTATTATTATTATTATTATTATTATTATTATTATTATTATTATTATTATTATTATTATTATTATTATTATTATTATTATTATTATTATTATTATTATTATTATTATTATTATTATTATTATTAATTATCATTAATAATAATAATAATTATTATTATTATTATTAATTACCGATTATTGATTACTAATTATTACACCATTATTATTACATTAATTATTATTATTACCAGGTTGTAGTCGAATTGTTCATCAATATTTACCGATTCAGTTATCATACTTTTAGAAGTGTCCATGTCATCATCCTCTTCCTCTAAAATATTCTTCATCATTCTGTATATCAATCACTAAGATGAAAGATAATGTTCATTAGTGTCTACATCTTCGTTTATCATTCCCATTATAGTTGGGTATCTGAATTATTTATAATATCAGGGAAATATTTCGGAAAGAGAATTTTCAGGTGGATTAGTAACGTGAGTACATTTAATGTGATCAGGTTTAAATGTAGAATATTTTTTTACCCTTATATTGGTCGAATATTGTCAGTTACTTCGTACGGTCCTCTAAACCATATGTCCACAAATTGTCCACAATTTCATCTCACCCATTTCCCCTCTCTCCGGTAATTTGCTCTCCCTAACAAACTTTATGACTTTGCCGAGAGAAGACACTAATTTAGAAGAAAACCATGTGGAGAATGATTCTGTGCCTTTCCTATCATCCACTTCTTTTTCTCATTTATTATGAACCAATTTCACAGGAAGTGGATTGTATCATTTCCATTAACTGTTTGCCTTAACCAATCCGATCATATTATTTCCTTCTGCATCAACACCATCCATTCATCATTCCTTATTCCAAATTAGTCTTTTCGGACTGCAGCAGGAACTCTGATTTTCTGTAGAGTATCAACGAAAATTATCTTACTGTACAGACCCGACTGCCGAATAAGATAAATTAAACAAAGCAGTTTAATAGCAAGTAAACTTTTTAAGAGATCAATATAAACCATGACCAATATGCAACTTTGAGAGAGCCTTTCTGTTATAATTAGATAAATTGACATTAATGAGCTGACAGTGTGTTGCTACTGAACCATCACGGTTGGCTATCATTCAAATGTAGATGTGGCGAGTGTCAATTTACCATAATTAGCATATCTTGTGAGGATATAAGGATGGTTATTCCTTTTAGAGACAGTCATTCCTGTCTTATCTTTCTGCTTGACATCATGTTATGTGATTTTCCGTAAACTGAATCCCCTTTCTAATTGTCCCGTTAATCATACTGAATAATTGAACCGAAAAATCCAATTGTTCATCCAATATCAATGGTTAGGGCACCTCCTGATCATTTCTTTTCTTGGAACATAGCAGGCAGAGATGTACAGGAGGAGAGGGTAGATATAAACCTTCTGTTGGTGTTCTCCTGAAGTTGAAAGCTAATCTCTCTTTAGTTAAATCTCTTCTATCTTAACATTATATGACCATTGTCTGTTGAACAAACCATTCTCATCATTTCTCCAAATATCCTCTCGTCAACCCGAAAACCCATCAATTTTCGGAAGCAGTTGTTCCATTGTTACTAAATGCTTCTTCCGTATTATTGTCTTCATGTGAGCAGCCTGAATTTCAGAATTGCCCAACTAGTCTATCTATCTATCTAACAAGCCATTCTCTCATATATTGAAAAGGCTGTACGGCGTTCAGCTTACTCGGCTGGTTGTATGATGTTATCCGGAACTCCGTCAATTCATCACAACCTCCTTGAGTAAGCGGATTGCTTTCCCAGCCTTTCGTCTCCCAAAAGCAAACCTATTTCGGTAGCCCTAATTTACTGTATTCGTCTCTCAAATCAACAATACCTTCACAACTGTCGGTGGTATGCCGTCTTCTTCAGTATCTCAGTTGCAGGAGTGATAATTATAAAGAATGCTTGAAGTAGTTTTATCTGCTTAAAAGGTATCATCCACAGCCAATTAATTGCCTTTTTACAAATTAATTTCTGTTGTATAAACGGGAAATTCTAATCTTATTTTAATCAGTATTGATAGAGAAGTTATGGAAATGTGTAAGAAGGAAATGATTCGTAAATTGTGGTAAGTCCAAAATACCGGATCAGTATGATCCTATACAAAGCTTATGTAGCTAACAGTCAATACCCAAAAGGTAGTTAAAGTCGTATCTAATCAAAAGGTGTAGTAAAACAAAAGCTTCAATTTGTAGATGATGGATTTGGACGAGTCAATAAATTAGTCACGGGTCAAATCATTTTGGAGCTAATTAAGTCTTCGAAAATTATGTTAAAATCTCTTTAACATTTGCAAATTATAACAACTGCTACATATATGAATGGATTCATTTACTGACCTCTTATCTTATATTAACTAGTTAATTAGAATTAAAACGATGGATTAAAGATATGTGAAAGTAGAATTATGTCTATTTTTTGTATTACGTTTTTTTTTAGTCATCTAAGCTGAAATTATTGATGATTGTAGATGTATGTAATTAGTGCAGTTTGCAAATATCAAAATTTTGGAATATTACTCTAGAGGATATTCAATTGATATATAAATTATAGTGTGGATAATCCATCGCGGACTATTCCTAATTTGGGTGCAATACGACGTGAGATAAATGAAGCGATCAATAGTTGGCAACATATACTACCGATGCAGTTTCATGAAATACGACCGGAATCAGGAGCTGATGTAAAGATACGTTTCGCAATAGGTGATCACGGAGATCCGTATCGCTTCGATGGAAGCGGCAGAATTCTGGCACATGCATTTCCACCCGGTGAAGGAATCGGTGGAGACATTCATCTGGACGACGACGAACACTGGACCGTTACACTTACGGGCGATCCTTTCAGGCAGCGTGAGTAAGCATGCGTGTTCTTCTGGCCTCCCTCCGTTGTGGTAGCAAATTATTATCTGTTCGTGGTGGCGATACGCGGTCGATCATGGACTGTTCCGGTTTTCTCGGAGAACAGGATTATCTTGATGAACCGTATAATCATATCCTGATAACACCACTTTATGAGATCATTAGTGCATCATTATATCATTTCCTAGCTAAACAGTTGCAGAAGTGAGTCTTCGTTCAATTGTAATGCACGAATTTGGACATAGTATCGGTCTCTCCCATTCACATCAACAAGACAGTGTCATGTACGCTTTTTATCAGTACGACTTGCCGCCAAAGCTATCCTATGATGATTTACTAGCCGTTCGGACTCTTTATGGCGGTAATGGACTTTTTATGTGGATGAATATTTTCTGTTGAATAATTACGACTATTCCGAATGATAGAAACTACAAATTAACTGCAAATGTCTTAAACTTTTGGTTATTCCAAATGCGAGTTTTCATCATTGTGAACCAAAAAGTGTATTTAAAAAAAAAATAGGTTTTACGGTTGGATATAAGTATCGCTTGGGTTCATCGAAGTGCTATATTACATTTCCATTTGTTTACCACAGCATATATTTGAAAGACCGGATCATGCGGATAGTAGAGGAAGAATCCGGTTATGCAAATATGCAAAATATTAGCTTCATTCGATATATAGGAGGTCATCAATAAGCAGGTAGTTCATCGTAGAATAATTACGATAATGCTTAATATTAAATGCACTGTCAGGCGGTGATTATCATCCAAGAGAACCAACCGATGCTCCTCGACCGCATTCATCTACTACTACACAGCCATCACCGTTGCCAAGAGGTCCTGAGCAACCTTCTGATCAGCTTCCAACAATTCATCCTGATACTCCAGAGCTACCTATCCCAGAACCCGATCCATGCAAATCCGAATACGATGCCGTTGCTTCCATACGACAAGAGATCTTCGTTTTTAAAGTGCTTATTTCTTTTCTCCCTGTCTTTGTCCTGGAATTGACTTTTTGTAGGGAAGGACAGGTTTCCGTCAGGTTCGATGATTCGTATGTTTCCAGACAAGAAATATAATCTAAGTGATCTTTTCTTCAGAATAGATGGTTTTGGCGAATACGGCAAGATGGTATGCTAAGTCAAAATCCACGTTATATCAATACACTATGGAAAGAAGCCGCATGGCCTATAGATGCAGCAGTGGAGAGTGATCATCAAATCTACTTATTCGCAGGTATGCTTAAATTTATCAGGTTAGACATTTTCATAGATCATTACGATTGTTTTTAATTAAGAGGAGTGTGGGTTACGTAAGTGAAGATTTCGGATGAAATATAAGTACTGTCGAGAGAACGGAAATCCTTTCGATATCCTTAGAAAATCCTTTTGATTAGAATATCATTCGAGACCTTTGTACAATGCTAAATTTGTTAAGGCAAATTGTGATATATTTGTATTTATATACATCAGAACTTTGAGCTACGGTGTTGAAGGCACAAAACCTTACTTTATTTCTGAACTGATTACAGGTAAAAATATTTATATATTCAACGGTCAGCATCTTGTCGCACAGAAAACACTCACCGATTTGGGTCTACCGGCCACTGTAGAACGCATTCGACTTGTTTACACGTGGAACTACTGGACCGAGCAGCCGATGTATATCTGGACAAAAGATGAGTTCTGGAGAGTTGATAAGGTACGAAAGACAGCAAATGTTCCAGACGGAAACAACTTTTTTTTGCAATTTTCTCGTACACTTCATTAAACAATGAAGAGTGTTGCAGAAATCTGAAAAGGTAGAAATTGGTTATCCACGGAAGATCGCAACAACATGGCATGGTATTCCAGAGCAAGCCAGCGCAGCCGTTACGTATAATAATGGTTGTTTTTTTCTTCTTACTTAATCTAAAAATAATCCTTTATTAATCCCTATGAACTTGAGACTATTTACATTCACATGACCCTCTCTTATTTAATGCAGAAAAAAAATAAAAATTCCGGTCTCCGCCTCTTATAGGGTGTTTTTTCAAGACAAAAAAATAGTAGACCGATGAGACAAATTGCAAGCAATGACGACTGAATAAAAAATGCCGCGGAAGTTTAAAAAAAAGAAAAAGAAAGTTTAAAAAAAGCAAAATCCTTTTCAGACTTATATTTTTTCAATGGTAAAGCGGCTTACAAGTTCCACACCATTAATATGACAGCATCACCAATTAGTACGTCGCAATTGTGGCACTTTTGCCCAGTGGCAATGAAAATCTCAAGCAATGGAAATATAGCACGCATTTCATCCTTATCTACTTTTATTGTTATTGTTGTTATTACTTTTTCCTTCACTGATCACAAATGGCCAATTCATTTTATAATAAAGATGTAATGATGCTATTTACAACGGTTACCGTTTTGTGACAAAAAATGACACAATTTTTTCCTTAATTTTCCAAACTAAATTTAAGTTTTAAATGTTGCCAACGATTCAGTTTACTTCACTACCAATGAAAACTCATTGTTGAATGAAGCCTGAATGGTCAGTTACTTTGTTAATTTACACAAAGCATTTAAATGATCACCCGATCTATTCGTCAGTTTAAGCAGAACAAATTAATATATCGATGAAACGACACAAACCAATAAAACGCTCAGAGGGAAAGGGTTCGATAAATGGCATCCTAAATCTTTTCCAAGCACAAAACTACTACTTCACATGGCCACTCAAAGGATTAACTAGACAATATATGAAAGAGGTACCATATAGGTTATTCTACTTAGTTCTTCCTATAGTAGCTACTTGCAGTTTACTTATAATTGCTCAGAGTTGCTAAAATATTCCAGTTAGAGAAGATAAGAATACGTATGTACAAACAGAGTGAGCGGTCATTCATATAATCAATATAATCACGACATTCATGATTTAATCTCCGATGACTCCTGTTCCTGCTGTCGCATTTCACTAAAATCTGTCGAACCATTAGGAGTACCACTGTTGTTGCTCTGACTCTGGAAACCAACTGCTTCAAATGTCTGGTTGGAATCACTATCGAATCCTCCTTCTGAGAAGCCAGTGTTAGAGTCATCATTCAAATTACCAAAGGCGCGAACTCGTGCTACATCACTGTTCTCTGCAATAAGGGTTTAAAGCAACATATTTCTAGGATTCTAATTAACCAACATATGCAGCTAAACAGTGCCTTATCTACCGCTATGAATATATAGACTTTCCAGAGGCCTGGAAAATAAACTATACTTACTGAAATATGAAATGAGGTTTAGTACCTCAAAATCATATTGTTCTTCATTGAGCAGTAGTCGACATAGTTTATGCAACAACGCTTAATATGCCTTACAAGGCAATAATACCTAATGCAATTGAATCTTGAGTATTTTCCGATGATGCAATTGTTGTGCTTTCATCTTGATCTTGTACCACAGATTTCTGTGGTATTTTTGCAATATTCGCTGTTGCAGTCACTGAAACGAAGCAGGAAGAAGTGAAAGAAGCTAAATATGATGTCGATAAAAATTAAAATGATACATGAAACTTCCAAGTCTTTTCCGCACCTGCTACATTAAGCGTTTCAATAACTTACCTGGCACCCACCGGAACAATTTTATTTGCGTATCTTTAACTACAATCCATTTCTTTTCCCTGCAAAAATCAAACTTTGGCACCTGAAAAAACATTGTTGTACCACTCATAACATAACAACCAGGTCATATACTCTTAGATCACTTTGCTCCCTATTTCGAGTTTGCCTGCCCAGAAATAAACTTAGTAGTGACAAGCAAAGTTTGGTTCCAACGACACCAGTGATATTGAGCAAGAGATGAACATCTGGAAAATCTCAAGGAATGGAGAATGGCAAAAACAGAACTATCTTAAAAGCCGAACACTGAACCTCATTTACGAATCAGTGCTATACATGGGGCATTCTGCTTAAAATATCCTTAGATGATGGGATAAAACTATTCAGTTACCATTTCCGAACTTTATCTACCGAATTAATGACCCGTTTCAATTCATCTTTCGCACGATTACGCGTTTCTGCGCGCTGACTGCGTGCATACATATGCTGTTGATTAAGCCACGACGTATCTCAGATTTGAACACCTGAATTGGTAGTGCCATTATGCAGCGCTATTTCGATATAGTCATTATATTACAATGAATACTGAACAGAAAAATGCGATAATAATTAGCTTTATGATGACAACCTTCACAAAACGATGCCATTCTATCTCTTAATATCAACCATGAAAGGACAAAAATGTGTACGCTTTTTTGCGGTAAGTTAACTGATCAGCAGTTGTTGATTAATTTGTGAAAGGATGTAATATCATTTGTCCTTTTATGAATGCTATTGAGGTAAGATATTGATCATTACGGCATATTATTTAGATTATTGACTTCGACCATGGAATACAAGTATTACCACCGGAAATACGTAGATTTTCCCCAGTAGTCTTATTGATCTTGCTTTCAGAACATCCCCGATACACTAAAAAGTAAATCCAAGCATCCGGGACATGGAATACACACGGAGCACTCAAACAAAGAAAAAAGTGTTAACAATCAAAAGGAACACCCAACTGATGTCAATATAAGAAACACGATCGACCGTATATTACGATAGTTGCGTAGTGAAAATTGTTCGACCCACTGGAAGTGTTTTAGTTGGAAAACAAGATGCTGTGTAGTGAAAGGCGCAGTTGGAATTCGAACGGTTTGGTATTATGGAATGTTTAAATTTAAAAGTTACAGCGGATTTCATTGCAAAATTTTCTAATTAGAAGGTCTATCTTTGCTCTTCATATTCACTTCGTTTCATTATTATTTGGTTGATTGGACTCCTGAAGATCTAAGATCTCCAAATTTCACTCCGTACACTCTCTACATTATCAATTCTAGCTTACCTTAATGAAACTGAATACCACTTTTAATTATACTTAATTCATATAATTAAGTTCTCTAGTAAGTTTGCCACAGTTTTTTTATCAGAAATATTGACAAATGTTGTTTTCAATAAAAAATGATGTATTGGTAAAATTGGCAAAATAATATGTTATAGTTAACCGGAAATGTATTGACATTGTAAATAGAAATATAGCAAAAGGTTTAAGTTCAAAAGGTTTTTTTTTTAATCATCACTTAAAAGGTTTAAGTGATGATTTTTGGCCGAATTACAAAACAAAAACGCCATATGGATAGAACTGAAACTAAGTTGACGAATGGCCAATGTCCGTTTTCCCCTACAATTTTTCCCTTGAAATTTAAATACTTGGAAAAACTGATGCTGAAGAATAGAATAAGTGGATATGCATTAAGTAAAGATCAAATATCATTCGATAAAGATTGGTATGTTTGATTGCTTTCAGTTCCCATTTTGATCTATTTTATTGAGCATTTTAATGAAATGGAAGAGCTTTGTTTTTTATTTTCTCAGATCTTCACCGCTAGATAGACGATTAATCAGATTTCTGATATCTATATTAGTTACAAGAAGCTATATATCTATATTAGTTACATCTATATTATCTATATTAGTTATCTATATTAGTTACAAGTTATTTATATTTTTATATAGTTATCTATTTTTATATAGTTAGTTATTTATATATAGTTATCTATATTAGTTACAAGAAGCTATATTCAGATATATCCATCTGAATTACTCGAGGGAAAATTAAACCTTCAATTACGTCAACAGTAAACATGCTACGATTTATTTCAAATGTCACTGTACTTCTTGCTATATGCCCTAAAAGACACCTTTCCCATACATGACATGTAGATCACTGAACTATCACGGGAAAATGAAATTAATGAAGTCGAAATGATTGCACCTTCCCTTCACTTCATGTACTGTTATTTCGAACTTTTGCATTGAGTATTTACAAGTGAAAGTCAAAAGAAAACGATTGTTTTTAAGAGAATCACTTGTGTATGTCGCATCTTCATGTGACAATGTTTTAATATCATTTCATTCTGAATAACTTATAGGCAGGTAGCGCGATACCAGTGATGTAGGGTAATTCTCAGTGCTTAAAATCATTAATAAACATTATTTGATAAATTTAATTGCTATCTAATTAGTTCGAAAAATTTCCAAATGCAGTTGCTTGCAAGAAAATTTATGATAACATCTTTGAATTTATCACTGATGATAAAGGTAGCAATTAAAGTAATATGATAAACATTTGAACAAGATTTTATGATAAAATGTAATATCCTTTGATAAAATCCAGTTCGAGCATCTCTTTAGGGGGTGAAAAATAATGATAACTTGGCAATGCTAAACTATATATATATATATATATATATATATATATATGACAAAACACTTGAACAAGATTCTGTGATAAGATATAATAAAATGAAGCAATATATTTGTGCCAGCATATGATTATCATTCGCTTATGTTTAATTACTGACAGAAGGCATGATAAATTGTACGGTGAATCAGCACTGATGACAAAAATCATTATAATAATAGTCATATGCCTTAACTATTGTTTTAACTACTTGTTTTTACTAAAGTATGAAGTGGATAGGGGTGTAATTGAGATCAGCAAATGTTTGGTGGGAATATACTGTCATTTCTTAGTTCTTTCATCAAATTTAATGGTTTTATCATGAAATTTTCTATGAGTTACATTATTGAGAATCCGAAAAAGCGAAAAAAAAAAAATGGACGCACGGAACCGGGCGCAAGATGATCATGCTGGTCAGAAAAGTTCACGAATTGGTACAATTTCTTAAATTTATGCTTAAAAAAAACGATAATTGCTCTTCCTAAAATTTCATGCTTCATTTTTGAAGTTATGAAGGAGCATAATATATCACTCTAATGGAAGTTTGACAAATTTTAAAATATTGAAATTGTTCAACTGTCAGCAAACATATTATTTGTGCCTTTTTCTTATTTCTATCATGGAAATCTTTTTTTACTTTGAAAGATAAAGTGATTCAGTCTATTTAATACCAGTCAAGCAGAATTAGTTACAAGTTTCTTTCAAAAGTATGAGAAATATCATTCATAACTTCTTAGTTTAATCATAGATTTACCTAGGTTTATTTGGTACGGGCATAGTTTTACGGATATTTTCACAGTGGAGTGAGAAGCGAAACGGCGCAATAAATAGTGTTGGATTTTTTAAAATAAGTGTCATTTGTTAGTATTTTCGTCTTCATTTTCAATTTCCATCCAAAACTATTCAGGGAACTATTCAAACCTCTTGTCTGTTTGGACTAAATTTTTTTTGATAATGATACGAATGTTCTAGATCAGTATTCATCCATCCTTATATTTGTTCCTTCTTTATCACTCCCATCAGTGACTGTCATATTATCAGGACTCCTTAGCATTGTATCACATTGAATGTTGAGATGGAATAGAGCAGTGATGGTTTGGTATCGTCGGGTTGTAGTGATATGGGCGTGTTTCGTGGGAGACGAGACTGGTGTGCGTCGTTCACCGCCATTATTCTCTTTAGCAATGCCCTTATACCTGCTCTCAAATTATATTTTCTCTCTCATTTCCAAATAATTGAACGCCATACTACCGCCGTTACCTTTCGTTCTGTTTTGGTAGTAGTAGTAGTAGTAGTAGTAGTGGTAGTAGTGATGGTGGTAGTATTTGTGGTGTCAATTCATACATTTTACTTTTGAATTTTGACGAAAAAAAAGGTAGGTAGAATATGTGGTGTGGTAAAGAGTAGGCCATTTCGTGATTTATATCCATGATGAACTAATTAGAGGGATTGTGCGACTTTAAATTATTCAGGTTGTAAACGAAACGGCAGCATCCGGAAAAACGACAGGGTAACCTATATGGTTTTCGAATGGTCCATCTCTTCTAATACTATTTCAAGCTGAATTGTTTCACTGGGTAAGAAATTTTGCGGTGTACTGTAAAGAAGGGAAGCCTACCTCATTGTTGCTACCTGTTCAACGATAAATGCCTAGCTTATATGGCATTATTAAAACCCTTCTTCAGCAGCACTTTTTCAAGCTTTTCTGCTACTATTACTAGTAGTAGGAACCTAATACATAGTATAGAGTTAATCACCGCCAGTTATTGGTTGATATTTGTCATGATCATTCTGTCCACCTGTAGTACCCGTACCGATGGGGCATTCTTTCTTAATGATCCTTATGAACATCCTCTTGTATCTCTGCAAGATGAAAGGATCGAATCCGTCAGTGCCACTGCCACTACTACTACTACAATCCAAAAAATACTTCGGGAAAAAGCGAAAACGTTCGGGCAAAGTGCAGAGGAGATTCGGAAAGTCAAATATTATCTGGAGGAAATTCAAAAATTTGAGGCCAAACAGCATCCAGAGGAAGTCTTTCAACGACACACCACAAAACTTTCCGAAGCGGTAAGGGTGGATATTTCCTAAATTTTATTTTTGCATCTTTATTTAAATGAAGCAATTTCCTTCTTCGAATTATTCCCTTCTTCGAAGAATCCGAATATTCAGCACAGCGATGAAGAACTTGATGAACTTTAAACGGGTTTTAGATTTCCTTTCTTCATCTACTATTTGGATTCTTCTATGCCTTCTAGCATGCTTGCTCAACTATCACTTATCCTTATAAGTGGTAGTAAAAATTTGGCGATTCTGACGGAGAGCTTAAACCTCACTTGAAAGTACAGCCTAACTCTTGCGTAAAAGATGACGATACTTGTTTCTTGCTTACAAAACCTCTTCAGCCTTACAGTATCAACAGAAAATAGCGATGATAAAATGTTTGTAATTTCAAATAGATGAGCAAGACGTAACAATGGTACCATAACCATTAGCTGAAATTTTCATCATAAAATGCTTTCAAACTATTTATTCAGCAAAAAACTTCGTTAACACTACCAAGTCCTTTGAACATTTTGTTTTGAAAAGATAAATATATATTACCTTATCACATTCTCCCTCCTCAACACTTGTTAAGAATGAAGAAATAACATTGTTACGAGAAACTGATTGTTGTTTGTAAATGAAAAAGAAGAGAAAACAAGAAAAAAAAAACAAGAACCAATAAATAATAGGGTTATAAAGAGAGGCGCATGCAGTACAAGAAACAGGTTACGAGGGCATGGAAAGGGAATATTGAATCTATGAACCATACGGGTTACTTAATGACAGTTCTATGTAAAGTAAAGACATTTATTGAATAAAATTTTTATTTAAATTCAATTGAATTAATCATGTCTATTAAAAAACCCATAGGTCATTGTTGGTTGGATTACTTCTAATAGAGCCACTTTGGAATAGTATCACGATATTCTCAAGCAGAAGTAGAATTATCAATAGTGATGAAGATCCATATCTAATGTAATTAAAATTTCAATTCATAAGCTATAAAATTTCTGCTGCGCTAACGTCGTAACTCCCACTAGTGATGACTGTTATTTGACAATATCGTCTTGTCCAGTCACGGTATCTTAGGTGACTCATTTACAAAGGAGCAATAGTGATTAACTTTAAGATATGCGAAGTGGGAAAACAAAATTTTGAATTTTGCAGAAATACAAGGGTAACGCCAAATAATTATCAAATAAGAGAAAAAAGGTACTAATTTTGTTAGATAAAATATTTCTGGACATATCTTCAATGCTGTCTAACTTAGTAAGCTATGTATAATGAATCATCTGGATGGGTCAGCTGTCACATGCAAATTTTGAAAGAAAGTGGTTGATTGCTGTTTGTCACCATTCATAAAATTATTCTCGAAAAGAAATAGTATTGATTATTGGAATTCTGTTCGAAGTATCGGTACTTTGACACTACTTAATAGTTTTTGTATCACAACTAGATACGAATGAAGCATGTTGTAAAAGTCTCTGTTTCTTTGCTTTTCCAACGCTTTTTCCACTAACACAGCATAGCACCGACAAATGCGCTTATTGACACGACCCACTTGAAGATATTCTCCTGTCAACCAGTTTTCTCACATATGTTAAATGAGCATAAAGCAAAATCCTTCATTTTCATTATTTTTCCAGTGAAGAATAGGATAGTAGTAATAGTAGTAGAGCATATGTGATGACAGCTACCACAGCATACTTGATGAGCAAATCTGAAACCCGAAATTAAGGATTTTCCGCTAAATTAAGGGCGGTAACAAATGGTTCTCCCACTCCTTCATCAATTCGTTTCTATTTTTATTCAAATCTTTTTCGACAATAAGACATTAAAAATACAGGATGAACAAAACTGAGGTATAAAATAAGATAAAATGATCCATTTAATCTTTCGTAAAAGATACGTCAGTGATGTCTGTTGTCACCACTGTACGATGATAATTTTTCATAACAATGATAATTTTTGAACAGATTCAAAATTTTCGCTAAATTGCAACATCTTTATTTCTAATTTCTGTGCAGAAAAAAGTAATAATTCTTACCAACGAGTGGCATTTTCAACGTGATTAATTAAAATGAAAACTTGAATTAGCTATTGGCCTACTCCGTAATCATCGATGATGCTATCATATAATTGTTAGGATCGAAATGAATCAGCAACCATTATAAATGTATAACATTCACTATCTTATAATAATTTTCTTCTACTTCACAAATAACTTACAACAGTAATTAACTTAATTTTACAATTTGGAATATAAGTTACAGAAAGATGTTTGGAAGGAGCGAAAAAAGGGCGAAATAATTGTGAAAGATTGTGATATCATTTATGATCGATCAATTAGGTTATAATATTCCGCCAATGATTCCTTTCAGTGTTATCGACTTAACAAAAAGAATCCTTTCGTTTTTTTTTTTTCATCCGATCAAAGCAAACAAATGAAAAGGAAAGAAAAAAAGAGAATCAATTGAAAAATATGTATTCAATTGATAAATATCTGAATCAAAGAAGAGAGTTTAAAAAAGGAAAGAAAAAAGTCTATTACTGTTAGAAATATACGATAGGATATCGTCGCCTTTGTGAAGTCTTTCTTCTTTGTTTTCTAATCTTGCTAAATATCCAATTATTTTCTTTGATAATAAATTACTGCTAATGATGAATCGGCTGATAATGATTACCAATACTTTCAGGCATAATTTTGCATCATGCAATTACGATTGTTATTTAAACAATTAATTAACCAAATATTGAGTTAAATTTATTAGGATGAATAAAATGAAATAAACTGTTGGAAAAGTGGGAAAATTCGAGATATTTATTTTGACAAAAACAATTTGTATTTCAGTTTGCAACAGAAGTGACGAAATTTGAGAAACGACTAAAAGATGGCATTTTGTTAAATCCGGAAGAAAATGGTCGATACTATGAAGGTACGACTTTTTTCTTTTTTTTTTTAAATTATTCAATCAGCACCCTATCTTGTACCCTGTAACTGGCATCATTTTATTATGTTAAACAATTGGTGGTGCATATATGACGATATTCCCTGAATTAGTATGATTACTTTAAAGCCCTAATACAATGCCGCCCAGTATTATAATGATAAAACATTAAGCACTTCCATCCTGAGCTAACTTTTATTCATCAATTCATTGACATCTTTTAACATCATCATCACTACTGTCATCTCGAAATCACTTCCTTTTCGTACCGAATAAAGTGTCAGCGATTTCACTAAAACGATTTTCTCCATCTTTTCCAATCTCTTTATGTCCCTAGAACGGAAATACCTATATTCTTTCAACCTCATTTAATTATTATCGTATATAAATAAAATATCTGTGTGTACACGTTACTGTAACACTGATTATGATCATAATTGATGATCTTTGCACAGATTCACTTTCTCCAAAGAAACTTTTCGTTGCATGTAATTAACGTAATTGGGTCATTTCAATAGGAATTATATTGTTGGCGTAGTAATAATGGATGACATTTGAGACTTATATTGCGAATTGCAACAAAAAAGAAAAAAAAAAGTCATAATTGCTTCATCGTAATTGCCCACAAGGAGCCAAATCTGAATTGCATTACAGTGCATGTACTTCAGAGTACCTCACTATATTGAAATAATTACTAATCACCAGAAAGTTCAATCCAACATAATAAAGGTTGTAATTTGAAAATTAAAAAGATGTATGAAGGAGCAACCAGGATTATTCAATCATAAGTTGTCCGTTGAATTCTTTCAGGTGAGGACACACTTGGTGTTATTATAGAATAGTAAAATAGTATGAATTTTATGTTATTAAGACTTCGTCAAATTATTCAATTGAGAAAATTCAATTCCCTGAGAGCATTGTTTCAGGTGACATTGTTCTGGACGTACAACAAGCTCATCAGATCCATGAGACTATGCTACAGCATGGACGACGTACGAAACGGAAATTTATCCGTTCCGAATTACGTCGATGGGATTCGCACAAACCGATAATTTACAGTTTCGACGGGTCACATAGTATGTCTTTTCAAGTTGCAACACCATTATACGATTTCTTGCCACCTGTATGTCAAGCGTAATTTCCTTACTTTTTTTTGCGGAGGACTCAATGATAAGGATTATCAGAGGTCAGATTGTAGTTAACACTGGAAAAGCTTGATTTATTTTAATTTTTTGGAACGAAAATTTTAGATAAGCAGGTTTCAATGTACTGAAAAAAAATTTTTTTTCTGTTTTATAAGAATGGAATGGCCAAAATGACAACGATCACAACTAAATGATCAGAACGATCATTAAATAATCCAACTAATTCCCATATAATATTTCATAGACGCGATATAGCATTTATCATTCTCATTACTGTACTATTTCCACAAATCTCTCAAAATATATCCGCTCGTAAATAGTCTCTCTATGTGACAAAAGTGAAAAAGAAATTTTGCAAAAAATTTTATTACTTTTGACTGAAAGGATCCCACCCATTTTATCACTCATTCTTCTAAGCAAACTAAAGAGAATAGAAATTATGTCACATTTGTGAAAGAAAAATGAGAACATATTTTTCTTCCCCTCTCTATATTCGTCCTTCATATTTGTGGGAAAAAATAATGTTGAATGGTTAAAAAAAAAAAATGAACAGGGAAGAAGTAAGGGAGGCATTATGGTTAGCAATGAAAGAATAGATGTTGCATAATTATGTATGCTTAATTAAACTCATTGTATTGAAATACTTCGAGAGTTTAGTGCTGTTCCCTTTCTGCGTCATTCATTTTGAAGATTATTTTAGAACATAACTTGTCGGATTTGCTCGGTAATATACAGGTTATAAGTAAATTTTTCTTCTCTCATCATGCTGTAAAATATATACAAATAAAAAACCTTTTCAAATGCCACACAAGAAAAATTTTCCCAAAAGGTTTTGCGGATGTGAATGAATGTAGACGAGAATCAATGCTGAAAATCCTTAGCGTTCAAGTTTTCGGCAGACTAAAGCAATCTTACAAAGAATGTCTCTTGAAAACTCATTAAAAGTTTTTCCTCACTTCAATCATTCAGTTTTATTTTTAAAAATTGTTGGTAAACTTGAACTCTTCTTTGTCGAAGTCACTTCTTAGGAAACATTTTACACATTATTGTAAAATTCACTATGTTATCCCGTTGAACTTTCGCTTTAAACTTCACAATTGCTCAAACAACCGAAATCAAATGAAATTTTAATTACATTAATGCTTATCAAATATTGATTATCTGGAGCTATCTCTATAGGATCAATTTATTTATAATATAATTTCAGCCGTACGTGAACAACGGGTAATCGAGTTAGCGCTTGAACACTGGCAAAATATAACATGTTTGAACTTTGAGCGCAGAGATAATGAAATTGAAGAAAACCGAATCGTTTTTACTGATGTGGATGGATGCGCATCCAATGTTGGCAGACATCCTCTTGGCGAGCCACAATTTGTCTCATTGGCACCGGAATGCATTCGAGTATGTCTTATTTTGCTATCGCACAGTGCATCTCAGGTGTACCTCATTTGGTAACCGTCAAATAAACATCCTTATAGCATGCAAGTATTATCTTAAAAGACCTGTACTATAAAACCCTTCTCTGCATTTAATGAGTGGAACTTCCAAGGAAAAGAATTCGGGAAATTACAGCTAGGAGTGATAGCACATGAAGTGGCACATGCGCTGGGTTTCTGGCATGAACAATCGCGACCTGATCGTGATAATTACGTAACAGTTCGCTGGGAGAACATCGATCGTGATAGCAAGGGACAATTTCTGAAGGAACTGCCAGTTGACGTGGATAATGGTGGTGTACCCTATGATTATGGCAGTATTATGCACTATAGGTAAAAATCCGCTTTAATATAACCTATACAAACCCCGAAACAATTCGAATAGTTCTTTAGTTTTCAGGTATGTTCATCTGCAGTATATGATGCAACATTGCTTGTTATTAAGATTCCACTTTTTTTAAAACAATCTAGAAAGCCATAGTAGTGCGTTACAAAACAGAAACCATGGATCGTTAATAAGATGATCGACTTTGCCATTTAGCCTGAAATTCATTTGAAAATGGGAAAAGGTTAACGAGATTACAAGGGAAATGAGTTGTCTTATTGCTAATTCATTTATTTACCATCGAAGTCCGATTACAGGAGTAAAGCATTCGGTCGATATGAAGATTTGTATACACTGAACACGAACATAGTGGATTATCAAAAGACCATTGGACAGCGAGATCAGTTATCTTTCAACGACATTCGTCTCATGAATGTGATATATTGTAGCGATTCATGTACACAGAAATTACCTTGTCAACGCGGAGGATACACGGATCCAAGGCGATGCGAACGATGTCGTTGTCCAGATGGATTCACTGGAAAAGTATATATATTTTCTTTATTGAAAATTCATTATCGCACATAAAAAATATGTGGCTCCCATGCATATATAAAAGTACAGCAACATTATATAGAATGCTAAAAAGAAGTGAACAAATCAATCATATTCAAAAGCATTGTTCGAAAAATATCCAACTCTATTGCTAACCTCCGAATTCTATGAGACGATACAAATAGAATGAGAAAACTAATCATAGTCCGATCACTTTTTTAGGAATAAAGGTGAAAGCCTCTAACTTATGAAATAATCCAAAAACTGTTAGTAGTAAAATAACATATGTTGCTCAACTATGTTTTGCAGCTTTGTGAACGGGTAATGCCAGGATTTGGAGCAGATTGTGGTGGTCGTATAGAACTGACTTCTAGTTGGAAGCGTATTACAAGTCCAAATTATCCTAGAGAATTTAAAGAGGGACAAGAATGCAGCTGGCTTCTGGCAGCTCCACCTGGTCAGCATGTACAACTACGCTTCTATGGTGAATTCGAGATGTACTGCAAGGTGCGACATTCGCTCTGCATGGATTATGTCGAAATACGTAATTCAACTGATTTCGCCAATACAGGAATGAGGTACTGCATTGAAGTTTATATTTCTTACGTAATTTTAGTGGTTCAATTTGAATAAAGGAGGATTTATAACTACGTTGGAATACACTGGTCATTTATTCAAATTAGTGGAACCGGAAATGATTTTAAATGAATCATGTTTCGATCTAACCAGTGCACCTCGTAAAGAGTGAAAAATCTCCAGCGAACATTTAAATTACTTTTCGTATTTTAGATATTGTTGTTACGGAACACCACAATCATCGATCATGTCAGCAACGGAGGATATGTTGGTGCTCTTCCGGTCATTCTACCGCGGTGGCAAAGGTTTCCAGGCGCAAGTACGTGCGCTACCAACAACCGGTTCGTTCTTGGGGTGGTCCGAGTGGTCTGCGTGCAATGATGCATCGTATGGCGCCTGCGGTATCAGGTACCGTCGACGTATCTGTGTCGATGGTGCCTGCATGTTAGTTTAGAAGTCCTTTCCCCATCACCTACTACATCCACGCATACAGTTGTTTCTAAACGAACAAACTTTTCGATTATATCCATTGTGATTTACAAAATTCCGCATAGTAGGACCAATAGTAGAAAATGAGCAATAGTCAGTAGCTTAATTAAACATTATGGTATCATGTGAGAAAAGCACTAACGTAACACCTCAAGTTAGTGACTTCGGTCTCGACAAAAAGGTTACATTGACAAGTGCGTGCAAAGTTAAGATGTAGTTCGAATCATGGACGACTGTTCCTTTACCAACCAAACTTACTGACTGTTTTCTTAGTTTGTATCCGAGAAGTATGAAATAAGTCAAAGAAGTAGCTAATTAGAAGTCATTCGGCTAGTACGTTGGACCGTAAAGCATGCATCAAAAGTCTTACCGATTAGTGCATCAGCTTACCTAACCAGCACAAGATGAATAGTGGGTGTTCTTTCAAAACAAAATTATCAACTGAAAATACAACTGATCACTCTTGTAGTATTTAACATCCGGACAGTGCGGTCTACGGATGAGTTCAATGGAAATTTGAGCAAGTATGCTGCAAAAGATTCCTAGGACTACACAACGATTAAAAATGCAAACGGTAAGAATTGTCGAAGCAGTAAGGCATTAATTTCAAAATTATGCAAAAGTTCGCCACATAACAACCACCTAAGCATGAATCTCTAAAGCAAAAAAAACCATCTGAAGCATGTGTGAATCTTTTCTATCAGTATTATATGCGGGCACTGACTTAATCAAAGTATTACGATAGGGTAGTGCTAAATAGTACCGTAAAACACAGCATATAAGAAGACAACGAAAGGTTTCAGCCCACTGAGGTCAGATGTTCAGACCATCAGAACCGGTTAGCAGGAAAAGACCTTTACCAAGGTAATTCCTACAACAAAAGATGCAAACTTATAGGTGCAACTTCTAAGCAACTATTTACGAATGAACTGTTTAAAAGTTTGATATTTCAGGAAGAAATGGTGCCAAAGTCATGTAATGGAATCAGCACTGTTCGGACTACGGTTCGCAATGAACATCATTTATAGCAGTTTATAATCAGAGTACCTTTTATAATATATATATGTATATATATAAAGAGACATAAGAACAAGAAAGAGGAGAACCATAGCTAGTCGATGACAATAAAATGACTCGTAAATAGAACCTTTAACTTTATTAACGTGTGCTAATCGTGTTTGAAATGTTTGAAACGAGTGAACCATAATGATCTCATTACTGCATAAATGTTTCTAGTAGAAGCGACTTAAATTATTGGCACAACTACTAATATATCACTATTTAACTATGGAAAAGAGAATATATATAAATGCCCAATGATAAATCAGTTAGGGATATACGAAGCGAAACTGCTATAAACCTAATCAATTCTTATCCGCTTTCTTTAAAAAACGTGGATCGGAAACTAAACACATCCAATCCAGATTTTTTAGCGATGTATTCAGCTTCACCAACTTTCGTCGCTGCACTTCAAATACCTCTTCTTTGGCCGTCTGAAATGCTTACAGTACTGTACAACACAGGAAACAACAAAATATGTATATATATCTTTACAATTAATTATGCATCCCAACGGAATGCCTGTGATCGTAAAATGAACAACACAGTTTTTTCTAAAACAAACAAAGATCCGTTCAGATCTAAGCAATTTTCATAAAATTCCCTAACTTTGCCGAATAATTCAATAAAATGCATAAAAATGATAACAACTTATAGATTTTCAAAGCATAGATAAATTCTTATTTTAGAAATCAATACCAATTCAGGCGGTTTTACTGGAGGACTTGGATCGGTCATCATTGTAATGAATTCATCCTCACTAATATTGGCCACCCTTGGCACATAATCAATCCGAAGTCTTATTTCCGCGATCTTTGATAAAATATACTCACAATACGACAGCAGTTGTTCTGGATCGCTTACACCTTGTTGTTGGTGCCAACGGTCTACCGATTTTGTCAAACTTGTCATCAGTGTATAGGTCCTGCAAGGAAAATGAATCACCCCTACTCCCAATGCACTAAGCAGTAGGCAAATTAAAACAAAAGTCTATATCACGGTCAGGGTTCTTTATGAATTTCCTTCAAGAGGTCCATGAATGATTAGGTTAGCCGTCTGATAATGCGACACCAATCAGTTCTTAGAATCCTGCTAAATCGAATTTGCAATTATTCAACACTTTGAGTATTTTTCAAAGCTTTTTCTAAATGTGAGCAAGCGAATGAATTGCACCGATAAGCAAATGGGTCAACATATCTCAGCAGTAACTGACAGCAACATACCTCAGCAGTAACTCCTGGACCAGTTCACGACCTATACATGCCAAGGAAGCAACCGAATACTTCGAAAGATCATTCAGGATCTCCGGAGAATATGGTGGAGGATTCATTGGTCGAGCTGCTTTCGTTTCTTCTTTTTTTGATTTTTCACTGGCCTGATCCGATGATCTGCAGTTTTAATGGCTTGCATTGGTCCCTTATCATCTAACTTGTCGCTTTTATACTATTTTTTAATATCACAGGAACAGTGCCTTGCATATCATGAAATATTAGCATCAGTTCTCAACCAAAAACATTCTCGTGTATACCTTTGAGTAGACTGTTGTGATTGTTGCCTTTGTGATTGTTGCTGAAGCTGATATGATTGTCGATTTTGAAACTGTTGTTGTTGTTGCTGCTGCTGCTGCTGCTCATTTGACGTTTGCGATTGTACTCCTAGCGGATAATTAGATTGAGATTGTGATGGTGGTCTTATACTTGGTGATTCCTGAGCAGTCCCTGCAGAATACGGCCTTCCCGGCATACTCTGCATATTTGTACCTGCTCCGCTATACATCTGAGCTGTCGGTATACCTTGCATATTCATTATCTGCTGTTGTTGCTGTTGCTGACGCTGATCTGTTGCGGATGACGGATAACCCATGATCACAGCACCACCTGCAGCAATTAACACTTGAGCAAATGTTAAAATCCCTTTTACTGTAGCTCCTTTTTTTTTCCAATTTTCACCTGCTCTTATCAACAATGATTCTTTGGTTATCTTTACAGACATACTCCACCCTTAACGCCTCACATTTGGGAAAAAATATTCCTCAATTCAGGGTTGCAATATCAGTTCTGGTGCTGTAAACCTGGTGCTGGTGAAAATCAATCAGATACTGATATAGTTACAGAAGGTATATTCATGCTCAACAAATTGTACTCACTCCTGACTAACAACTCAAAGTAAATATCAATTGAAATAAATATACCTTGAGTTTGCTGATAATATACCGGCTGATTCGGACCAACGCCTGAGTTCTGCATCTTCCTGAAGCAAAATCCTTTCATGTCAGTAAAACAATACCACACTCTAGGAACCACATTACTAAATCTCCCATACTTCTCTCAAAGAATGTCAAATATCAAAGCTATCATAGACCTTGTTTTACTCAGATAAACTTTCATCCATTAAAAGGATCAAGAAAGACAGTACTAGCTGCTAGAAAAATGAAAATTTATTGAAGAGATCATATACGGAAATTAAAGGCATGAATTAAATATTATCATGAAAATGAACAAAGATGAATATCATTCACTGAAATACAAACGACCATCGCGAATCAATCCTCATATTTTTAAATCAGGACTCAAAATTTCCCGTCAAAAAAATTCCCGATAATGTACCATCACACAAAATTTGAAACAATTTTACTTCGGCCAAATATTTGTTACAACAAAAGAAAGAAAAATTGCAAAACTAAGTACGTTTATGCTCTTGCTAAATAACTTTAGTGTTATTCAGCTTTTGCAGACGGAACACTTTTCTCCATAGTTTCTGCAGTTTTATATAAAAACTAAGGATCAAACTTAGATTTCATGGCCTGAGTTTTGAAACTAGGAGCAAGTTTTGCCAGTTCACTGCGAATGTTTATAAAAGCACCAATTAAAGCTCCAAGTTGTAAACGGTCTGAGCAACCCTGTGACAGATGGTACTCGATATCTGCCATACAAACTAAGAGCCGACTCAATAATTCTGGCGGTATTACGAGACGGAATATGAAATCATGCATTGAATTCAATATGTCGCTCAAGGCAAATGCACGCTCACTTCGAATTTCTTCTATTTCTGCAAAATAAAAAGGACAGTGAAAAGCTATCCATCTGTCTGGTTTATGCTGAGTGACTTTTATCGTTGTGAAAAAAAGTTATCAAAATTCTTGTGACATAAGACTTCAGTGAGTGGTTTGAAAAATGTTTACTATTTAAACTACGCCATTTAAAAAAAGCATATTTCAAAGTATTACTTGTGTAAGCATCTTCTATTGAATCGTTTAAAAGTATTCTCACAATTTTTTCAACATCGTTTGGTAGAGGATATCCCACGCACTGATAAACACTCCATTCATCAACCGTCTTAAAAGCCATCGCTGTGCTCTGCAAAAGTTATGTAAAAGTAGTGAGTGATGAGAACTGAACATATGTTTGTAAGTCATGAAGACTCAGGCTTCAACTTTCTCAACATTACTCATAGGGAAGTTACTAAAAAACAATTATTACTTGAGAAATAAAAATAATTGATTTTAGAGAAACAATCTATTAGAACACCCTTTGAAGATAATAAAATATTTGTTACACAAGATTTAATGCGAAATCATATATAATCATACTTCTCTCGCTATCCCTTAGTTACTGCTGCATTAATTAATTGCCATATTACTATAGTTCAGTTTAGAAACTGGATGTAGAAATTAACCAAGTCAAGTAATAATCATGAAATAGAAACTGTTTACTTGCAAAATATTGATGATCCGTCTCATGTCTCCTTCAGCCAAATTTAACAGTGCATTCTGACCGTCTTTTGTTATAGTTAGTGATTCCGCCTGCACGATATAATGCAACCGTGGCAATATCTGCTCCTAAAAGAATATCTTATAATAAGCCTTTAATGATAAAAGGAATGCAACGTTTCTCCTTCTTTTTGGATCAAGCGTAATCTAAGCGTGATATATTTACTGAAAGCGCTAATAAATGCAAATATTTGGCGCATTAACAATATTAAACAAAAGACTAACATTTGGAAGTGGAGCGAAACGTAGACGTGTGCACCGCGATTGGATTGCGGGAATGATTTTCGACAAATAATTACATATAATACAGAATCGAACATTGTCTGTGAATTTCTCAATTACGCGTCTAAAAGATGAAACCATTTAAAAAATAGCAAAGAATATAAATTCCATCGGTTATATCAATACACTATAATGTACCTTAAGGCACTCTGCGCATCCTTCGTCATAGCATCAGCCTCATCCAAAACAATCAATTTCGGCATACTCTTTTGGTTCTTGTCCATACTTAAAGTACTCGTTTGGGCAAAATTAATGATCTGTTCTCGAACGATTCCGATACCTCGATCATCGGATGCGTTTAACTACAAAATATGACTGGGAAAAATATTTAAAAATGCGAATCACTGTAGTATTTTCACCAAATACGGAAGCGTAACCAAAAGTAATATTGATAAGAAAGACAAAAGCCATAAGACAATGGTGTACCCTTCAGGAGGGTTCTATCTGTTGAAGGAAGATGAAGTAACAGCACTGTACAGGAGCATCCCTATTATTTCTTAAAAAGATGCAAAATGTTGGATCTTTATTAAGTGCTGTATTGATGAATTTGAATTTAATTGAATAAACTGAAAAGTGTACCTCCAAAACCATCGATGATAACTGTTTTGGAGCATACATCATCTTTGCAGCGGCTAATATGGTACTCGTTTTTCCGGTTCCAGGAGGGCCATAAAACAATAAATGTGGCAATCGATTTTCATTGATCAATTTCATAACTAAACCAGAAGTATGAAATGTCACAAACATGATACATTACTTACCAAAAATGAGGTTTAATTTGAATAAAAGCTGCTCACAATATTCCATGAATTCCTCATGGAGATGAGTGGTGAAGTTCAGGGAGTTTAAGAATTAATCAGTACTGGTTGATATTTCCCTCACACGAAACGACAGCAACAAGAGAGCAACTTACGCGTTTCAGTGATTTCTCCATGAGAGACGACTTCGGTGAGGGAAACTGGACGGTACTTTTCAACCCACGGCATATTGACAGTACCATCTCCTTTGGCCTGTTCATCCAGTACCATTGTCCACCGAATCTCCTACTTGATCGAACTCAACCGCTTGTTCCGGCTATTTCAGTCCAGGTCAGGATGCGAATTGCGAATGACTTTACTCAAGGGTATACCTTCTGGGTTTATGTACAAGTTAAGGGTGCGGGTATTTTGAGGCGGGGTGTCTACGATGAAGTATTGGGGGATTTCCTGGTTCCTATGTTTAATTCTTCTCTTTTAATTGCTATCCGCAAGGATTCATGTCTAGATCGTTACCTTTGCATTGTACTGCCATTAGCGTCAGATGAAACCGGGTTTGCCTGTTGATCTGATCTGACTTTACCTGTTCTCTCCTATACATCGCTAATCTGATTTGAGCAGATCAGATTAGTAAAATGCAGGTTAATAGTGGAGCTATTTGAGTGGTTTGTAATTAGTTCTTTGCTAAGAACTAGTTTGAATTACTTATAGGAATAACTTCGAGTTACTGTTGATAATATTAAGCTGGTCTGCTATGCACTGGTCCAAGTTATTTTTGCTTCACACTACCATCTTCTGACAAGGGTTCCCTTAAATTATTGTTGACAAGAATTATTTGTTGATGAGCGATGATGGAAGTAGTGCTAACAAAAATTCAAACTTTTTTCAGTTTGTTATTTCAGGTTAAAGTTTGGAGATGGATCCTGCTGGAAGTGGTGTGGCCTCATCAGGTTCATTACGCACAAAAATATCACTAAAGGGTAGATACTCGCAGCTATCGTTAGTGTGCCCTTTTCACTTGATGAAGCCAGAGTTACCACGTTAGTTTCATTTTCTTATTAATTCTACATTCAGCCAATAAAAGTAAGTAAATGACAGGAAGATTTAGCCACGTCAAAGATTCACGGATTAGAAAAAGTTGTGAGGACTGGAACTATCTGCTGTGCACTGTCTTTTAGTAAATAAAAGAGTAGATCAAGAATTATTACTGGAAGAATTTGAAATATCCTCGATAATACAATCGTTTGCTATTTGCAGTTTGAAAATACCACCTTGTCCTGAACGAAAGTTGGTAGTCTGATGTGGTCAGGGTCCATTCATGCTTCTTGTTGAAAATGAGTGTGATTTGATTATGTTCATATGTTCAAATTAAAGTCTTGGAACTTTTTCTCTATATATGAGGAGGAATTCGACCGGTCTAATTATGTGGTACTTCTCAAAAAAAAGCTTATACTTAGAAATTTTATAGAGCAGAGCGTTTTACTCGGCAGTAACGACTTATTAGCGGAATATGATATGAGCTCATCTTATCAACGCTTTTGTGGCTCAAAACGGTTACGCGAAGATCTTGGCTCCTTCCTCCCACATCTTGTTGGCAGTTTCAATTTTGAAAATGCTTTGGAGTTCAGGTTTATGCTATCCTTCAACTGCTGATTTTGATTTTACTAAATATTGATTTCAACAGACGAACGTATAGATGTGGGTAGCAAATGTTAACAAGGCGTTAAAGCGGGATGGATACATTTGTTCAGAGAAAATAAATTGAAATATATAGGAAAGAAATTTCATAAGTGAAGGGATATGGAATGTGAGGACTCTTCTCGATAGAGATTTTCAGTTTGTTAGGGTACTACTATGAGGAAAGGATTGGATCCGTGAGTGGATAGTTCTGCTGGTCTTTTTAATGATTATTACGACTTACGTTCTTCATTTTGCCTTGTTTTAGTTCATTGCGGATGTTGGTGGAAAAACCACCGATTACCGGGAAAGAAATTACCAGTCTTTCTGCGAGTGCGATGGCAGGATTTAGGCTCACACCAGGTGCCGTCCCCGAACCCTATAGGTACTTTTAAACATACAAATTGTCATTGAATACTGCTTATTTACATATAGAAAGTATTTTTTTAATGATGCGGCACACAAAATAAACTTTATTAAGTCGGCGAACTAAATTTTAATCAATTACATTGCGAAGCAAAAGTGATAAGCGCAAAGTTAGAACTGCAAACGAAATTTTTGTACTTTGACATTACTGTTACTTTCATGGGCTATAAATTTTTAGGTATTTTGACAACAAAGTAGACGATTTAAGCAGTGAATCAATAAATTATGATGAAAATGGCGAAGAATTGAGACATAAAAGGAAGTTTAAATGGAGCTTGGATGATCTTGATGGTAACTTTTACATTTTTTGTCTTTACATGGGAAACTGTACTTCTGATATCATGTGTAATAATATATCGTTTACTTTAAAGATGCTGATTCGGATCGAAAGTACAGAAAGCATCGCAGCGAAGATAAAGATAGGAAGAAAGAAAAAAAGAAGAAAAAGGATAAAAAACGGAAGGTAATTATTGGTGCTACTCACATTTAACTTTTTTTGAAAGTACCATTGACTTATTAGTAACAATAATATCTTGAATTTAAATATGACGATAGCTAGTGTCATTTTAATATAGATACGACGATAACTAATATCAAACCATCTTGTTTATTCCATGAGCAGTTATGGCCTTAATGGTTGAGCTGTTTGGCTCGGATGGCCAGTAAATACCAGCGATCTTTGGTCTTGATTAAAGCCTGTGATAGGTTAACGCGGTATTCTAGCATTCTCTTATTGCTACTAATCCCATATCACTATATAATGTTCTATTCAAAAGATTCACTTTCAGAGGGATTCAAAAGAAGAGGACCCAAACAATAAAATAAGAAAGATATGAAGATTTGATGGGTTGGTTGCTGGAAGAAGACAATCTACTGGTTATAAAACTAAATATCGGAAAGGGAAAATCAGGAAATGTATCATTATATGAATAGCTGAACTTGATTAAAAGGGACAATAATGGTCATCAGGCAACGGATCTTCGTCCGTGTTAGAGCGCATTTCTGTCGAGATGAGCACATTACTATCGATGTTATTGTATCATATACATTCAAGTATGATCTCGTTTGTTGAATATGATACAAATATAGATCTTTATCCATATATCCATTGGTAATATTGCATCCAGTGGTACCAGACTTGGTTTGCTGTTAGCAAACTCCATTCTAGTTTTGACTGTTATCAGTCCCCTTCTGAGTAAAAGTGTCTCATTCGTTCCTTTGCAAAATTTATCCCGACAATCTCTTTTATTTTACTCAGAAAATTAAACTATGGTTCCCCTGCTCATCTTTACGTATTTCTACTTTTACTTGTTCGATGTTGGAGAAAGTTTTCTGAAATGGAGTGTATCGTTTGCCACATTTTTTTGAACCTCTTTGTTTAGCATTTTTTTGCTATAGGTTGTGGTTAAATTACATAATATAAGATCCTTTTCCAATTTTCTTTTCTGATCAGCTTCTGAGTAAATAACAAGAACGATTCCTGCAAAATACTTACAGCTTTTCTGCCTATATTCCTTATAGCTTTTAAATACACTAAAAGACTAAGAGCAAAAAGCAAGAGATTTTACCAGTGAAATTACTAGCGGATATGTTCCGGCTTGGATGCCACTTTTGTGAGGACTTTTTGAAGTGGACAGTTTTCACTGCATTATAGTTCTTATAATTGTTCTCGAGATGCTTACTCTTAAACTTGCTTGATTAAGAATGGGTGAATGCTTTTCTTCGATGTTAGAATACTGTGGGATGGATGACCGATGCTTCTTGCCGGAGTTTAACAGTCGCCATACGGTCTCTTCCGCTTAATTTTTAAGAGGCATAGATTAGGCGTCGAGATAGTGGAAATATGCTAAGATCATAGCGATGCAGTCATAAATTAGGCTCCAGTTAGAATTGCGCAGTAAGAGTAAGGTTTGTGCATTTCACAGAAGAGGAAGCACTGTATATGACAAAGTTTCCTCTTTCATGCTTTCTTCCATTACCTAATCATTTTGCTATCAGTGTTGTATGGCTAACTTCAAAGGCGAAAGCACTCGCACAATAAATCGGAGTTATATGAATGTTTGATAGTTATATGGATGTTTAATGGTACTAAGAAGAATGTGGTAGAAATCGAGTGGTTGCGAATGAAGCAGCAACTATTAGCAAAACCTCGCTGAAGAATTTAGGTGGGGTGCTCCTACTGAGTTCCACGTCTCTGTACCTATAGTGCTCAAAATTGATCACTCTGACAGTTTTACTACAAAACTTACGAAATGAACCGCTTCGGTGGTCAGAATCTGCTCTACCCATAATGTCTTATCTGCCAGAGTATGTGAAGTATGGGAGTTTAACCGAAAATGTTAACGAGTCATGTATTATTTCTATGCAAATAGTACAGTACCTTGAGTGTTAACAAACTATTAACATTCAAGTTTACATCAACAACAGGAAGGAAGTATAGAAAGAAAGGGATAGGAAAATACTAATTCAAGATCGTACTCATACATATATGACAATAATTGGAAATTGGGCACTAAAAAAGTATTATTACTATTAAAAAATGCTTTGAGTGATAAACATAACAGAAAACAGTGGAATAACTGTATAGACAAGAGAATAAGAACATCGTATTGGAGTTTATTTACCAGTTGTATCAATAAAATGGGTCAAGCATAAATGAGAAACAATAAGTTATGTTTAAGGAAGTCTTGGATGTAAACTTTATCATCTTTGATGATAGTATGAAAATGCAAGGATTAGTAGGTGATGTTCTCAGTGGCGCAAATAGGAGAGGTATTTATTAAATGTCTGAAAATAATATTATTCTCTGAGATGCAACATTTAATTCATAACGATGAGTAAGAAACATTTAGATAAAACACTGCCATTCAAAAATGGGACCAGCCTAAGTCAAATGATGTTCTATCTTCCACTGAACTGATGATTCTATTAAAGCTTGAATGATATTAGCTTGATGTTCATGTACAATAGAAAATGTCGCAGAATGTCGCATTCCCAATGTCATATCGCCTACAGTTAGTTCACCATTCTGGCAGTAGTTTTATATTTGATAGCACATAAGCCACATTTTATCACACCACCAACGCTTAAACAGTGCTTGAATTAAAACAAAAAAAAAAAAAAGTAGATTTAAAAACTGAATTCTGTGGAAGGAGTAACCGTTTATATACTGGATATGGGTTACATATAAGAACAGTTAATATGAAATATATAAAATTAGACAAGAATTTGCAAGGGAATTAGCTTACCAGATGCATACAACGTCCTCAGCATCAAACAGAAAACACTTTCACGTGACTTGAAAGTTAGACAACTAACTTATCACTTCAGTTATGGGGAAACATTTCCTTGAAGTGATGAATACTATCTAAGATATATTATAAACAACAAATACTTTGATTGCTCATATAAAATCTCTCGGTTTGCGACATTCCTAACTGAAGCAAATTATACTTCCGGTGGAAGAATTTGAAAATTGTAGTGAAGGGAAATTGTTTGATAAAAATTTCTATAAGAATAGCTATAACTTTTCTTTGATTTGGAGTTTTGAAACATGGAAGATGAGAAATGGATCAAATTAAATCAATTTTCAATTTGATGACAATAAGTACAATTACGACTGATATCGCATTGATATTACACTTATACCAGTCGTAATTAATTGATAATGCGTAAAGTATTCTGTCAATTCTTCTTGTATTAGTGTTATTGTTTTACCGAATTCCTTTTCGGGTTGCTCTGATAATTCCTCTTCCTGTTGATTTAGTTCATCCCAGCAAGTTTCCATCTTCCATCGTTTATGAGCTGAATTAATCATTTGTTGCTTTTGTACTAATCATTCCAATTCTGCAACTGATTCTTTCGATTTCGAATTAAAGCAAAAAAAGCAATATAAGCAAGAATTGCTTATTATTCCTTCATGTCAGACGGCAAATCTTCTTCGGATATGCAAGTAAACCTTGGCAGATAAAATTTCAGCCAACTCTAGAGGCATCGCTCAAATGGTTATTAGAGCTATCGATCTTTCCGTTAATCTTTTATCACCTGTGGCAGATAAAGGATCAAGATAATCCAACCAACTTGTGCAAAGAGTTTAGAGCGCTTGACTTATGTTTCCGGAAGACTCGGCATAAATGATAATTTGCTTGGTTTGGCGTGCCATTGTTTACAAGTCATACATTTGTTTATAACTCATTTGACTTCGGGTCTTCCATTAAGCAGCCAAAATGTACTTCTCAACCGTGAAAGAGCATGACTGTTTTTTCTGGCCTGCTGTAAACCCTTATGTTAATTTAGTATGAAAAGTTTCGTTACTGGATTATGTCGTAAAAGATGGGTAGAGTGCTTGCCATTTTCGCTCAATTCTTCTAGTCGCCTTCTGGATCTCCATAATTTCTCATCCTCATTATAATATAAATTCCATTTATAAATTTCTTCCCCAGTCAACTCTTCTGATTGGACTTGTCTAATTAATAACCATTCGGTTAACTTGTGTCGTTCACTGAGAGTTGATTTCTCTCGATTGAAAGTGATTGTAACTGTAATAATTTGTTGTTGGTTATTAATCCTATGAATTTGCGAATCCAAGCGGTTGTTTCTAATAATCTTAACCAATTGCTGATACGACTACTATCCATAAATTGAAAATTATTTCTCTCGTAAGTTTGTAAAACCTTCGCGATGGTGACTTTTTTTGGTTTTTCCTTCTCATTTTGCCAGCTAAATTTTTCTTCTTTTAGCCATGGAAGTCATAACACCATGGTCTAGAGAATCTAAGTTTTTTTGGGGAGGAATTACTTTTGTAGTCCCGTCCGCCAGATTATGTTCTGACGGGATATATCGAAACATGAATTTCACTTTACGTATTTCCTCGACTCGGTTTTGAATGAGTCCTGGTGACAATCCAGGATAATTTTTTACCGGTGTAATGCACATTTCGAATCTGAGAACTACCTTTATATTTTGTGGGTCCAACTACATCATTACGAATTGTGTCGCTCGTACTCCTATGAGTATCGCGAGTAAGTCTAGTCGAGATATAATAATTCATTTGGTAGGGGCAATGCGAGATCTAGGAAAGACCAAGAATGATTCCTTTCCATGCATTCCTTGACTTAGCACATATATACCGCTGCTGAAATACACTAAGCTTGATGCGTCCGTAAACACATGAACTTCGATTATATTTGGGAAGTTTGAGACGAATCGAGGTAAATGCCTTAGGTTTTTGATCACTGATAAGAGATTCCCATTGTCGTTGACCATCAATAACATGATCCTATGAGTGATTCTTCTTCCAAAAGTTTCGAAGAAATGATTTGAATCTTATCATTATGGGGTCTAAGAAACCGAAAGAGTCATATTATAAAGCAGCGAAGTGCAGGATCGTCTTCTTCGTTAATTCTTTTTAAATCCATGGTTTCAAAATTATTTGGATGATGTCTTAATTGGGATTCTAGGTAGTACCAAAGATTTTCCTTGGACTCATTTTTACTCGATCCTGTTCAAATGCGTGGAAGCCCATTAGAAAGAAATTCCCTTGTCCGTCAGTTGATATTAAAGTTGTCCACACAGAGATTTCTTCTCATTTCTAGACTGCTTTCCAAATGATAAATTTAGGGTAGCCGATAGTAAAAGGCGATAGCAAGTTACTCTAAAAGAAACCTTTTTGAAACGATAACATTTTGTTTTCTACTACAGCTCCTTTAATATCTTTCAACAAAAGGAATCTAGTACAATTCCTGTCTGAAGGATGTAGTTCTATTTGTAAAAATGCTTTCTCAATATCGGTTGTTATCACGCCTCTCGTTATTCGGAAACGTAACAATACTCTTACAAGGTCTGGAAGTGTGATCGGTCCTCGATATAATACATCATTTAAATTCTTAGTTCCTTTCAGATGTGTTGAAGCAGCATACACAATTTTTAGCTTGGTTGTAGTCTAGCTAAGGTTTTAAAATATTATGATATGGCAGATAATGTACGATACCAACCTGATCCGTGTTTGGTTGCACTTCTTCACTTATTTGGAGTTCAACTGATCTTGGATTGTTTCTTGGATTGTCGTACTGTTGAAGTTCTCTTCCATGGAATTGAAGTCGTCCAATCAGGTTTCGCAGACAGCTGAAACACAAACTATAATTATTGCTCATTTTGGTTCCTTATTTCTTCCATGGCCAACATACTTAATATCTTCCATTGCGTTTGGTAATACTTTTTTAAAATTGTTTCAATGTTCGTCCATCATCCTGAGTATTGGGTTGTTCCCAATGCCTATACATTCTAATTTCTAGAATAGGTCCACATCAGGAACGCAATTTGCACTGGCAACATTTTTTGCGTTAGAAATTGGGCAGTGATTGAATCTGTTTGTGTACCCGTGTCGCTGACTTTCTTCATGACAAAAACTGAGGGTCCTTTCTGCCACTTTAGTTGGTAGTACCTCAAACTTGAGTAATTAAACCTTTATTACGGCAAATTTATTAATACAACAACGAACTTGCAAATACGACATCGATATAACAAATTAACGAAAACACTAAGAATAAAAAAGACAAAATCATGCTCGATACCTTATATCCAACCGACATCAATGAAACACATTTGTAAAAATGGATTAGTGCTCAGGACCCTCCGCTTCTTCGACTGGGAGGATCCTTGTACTGTTTTATGATTACAAGAATTAGCTTCGTCATGGAGCACCCATTGGTATTAGGTTCTTTGTTAGTGCAAACGTAAGACGATATGAGCATATAAAACAAAGATGTCTGGCTTTCAAAAAGGGAGATTATTATTTCTTTGTTTCTACTCGCGATATCAGCGACAACTTGCCTCCAACTACTATAGGACCTACTTTTTCATGAAGCAGGGTGAATCCTGAGTTTATTTGCTGAATTTTCTCTAGTTCGATAAATTTGAAAAAATTTCATCCGGTTCTTTTCATTTACTCCCTAGATTATTCAGTTGGTCTGAAAAAATAATGAATAATTTCATGGATAAATCTGGGCTACTCGAAGTTCGTCTGTCGATTTCTACTACTTTCTACTACTTCGCTTGTCAATCTCGACTACTTGAAGTTCGCCTATTAAATGGTCTATTATGTTGGCCACGCAAGTCACTGTCTCCATCCTTGCAGTTCTTATCCCAATTTGTATTTTGATTAGGAGATATAATTGTGACTTCTTGATACCGAAGGAGGATATATTTTCTTGTTTTTCTTCGGTTTCTGTTAAATCTAGTCAATCAACTAATTTCTGAAATATAAAGGTTGATTGTACGCCCACATCAAAAAGGACCAAAACTCCATCATGGAGTCTATATCTTTTTAGATTGAATACGTTGATTTCCTTATACAAAAGTAAGACTTTATCCTTTAGTCCAGTTATTATGTTAATGGCAATGTTGCCATTGTTTATGGCAACCTTTTTCCCTTCAGCTAAAGAATTTTCTTGTTGCTTGGCTTCTCGATCCATAATGTCGCATAGCGATAGAAACGTGCCATCAGTATGTCCCAATTCCCAACTGTTTAGTTTAAGCGTACATTAATTTTCCTTAAACGATCAACTCGTTGCTCGAGAATGGGATACATGTAACCATTCGCTATCCCAGTGATCCCCGTTGCAAAATATACAAGGTCTTCTCTTTTTTACTTGTTGGATTTTTTCTCGAGATTATGGTTGATTTCGGTTTATGCTGGTTGATTGCAACTAAAGTCTATTTCCTGCGGTTCTGCCTGAGTTTCGTAATCGACCATAGTTCATCTCCCTTTTGTTGTCATGCTTTATCCAATATCCATCCAGGCGCTTTAGTTTCTATAGCAGTTTCAATGTTAGTATGTTTAAGGCATTCTCCTTTTGCTTCTGTCTAAGTACTTTTCCGATTGCCTCAACAGTTGACTTCCGCTCCCGGTCGTTTCGTTTTGTGGAGTTTAGTTCGCAGTAGAGCGGTTTTTTAATAGTGAGCGACTTCCCAAACTTTTCAAATAATATTTTTCTTACAACTCTATAGTTTTGCTCTATAGTTTTGCGGTGCTCTGTCATAATCTGCTACTGCTTGTAGGGCATTTTCCTTTAAGGAGAACATTAAATATTTTATTTTTTGGATGTCTGGAATCTCTTGAGAGTGTATTGCAGCACTAAAATTGCTGTAGAACTACCTCCAGCCTTTAAGGTTACCACTGAACATGGGAAATGGCAACTGTGGTAGATTTACTGTTGACGGTAGGCTACTTGAAGAAGTCCTCTCGGTTGAGAGATTTCTTCTGTTATTTCCTTGTTCTATTCACTTTGGGCTAGACGTTAAAGAGCTAACTCATCGTCTTTTTGTGCATAGCTAAAGTTATGTAGCTTCTCTACCATCACTTCCAAAATAAAGTGACGTTCGCCATTTCTATGCAGACGCAATTTATTGAATATATTCCAACCATTTTTCATTGATTATTTCAAGAAGGGTAGTATTCATTTCGAAGCGCATCAACCTTTCTTTGGGGATCCTTGTTCAGGCTTCGTATTTCTGGCGTAATTCTTCCCTCGTCAAAGTTTGGTCGGATGAGGCTGGACCCATTGCTCCTACTTCGTCAAGGACTTACCAATTTTAATTTTGCCTGTTGAGCGCTTGCTAATATACTGGCGGACATTACCTTACCTCGGGCACCAAAATTTGTCGAAAAAATATTGCCTGGTTTGGAGGAGATTGACAGTAAACTTTTTGTGTTGTTTAATACGGATGCAAGATGGTTGATAAAGGTTTATTAATGATGGTAACAGCTTTCTTAGCGAATACAGAGAA